TGCTTATTCAAAACTGTAGTCAAGATTTTCATAAAGCTTTTTAAAAGCACTTCATTCTTTTCCTACTAACACCTCTGAAGGCTTTCAACGTGATATTGCTCTTCCTGCTTGGAAAATGTGAAAAAGGTCTGGGATACAGGAGACATTCACATCTTCCCTGTCTCTGGAATGTCATTAACCATGTTTCTCCTCTTTGTAAAGCACCTAAGGTTTAGCAGTGATAAGTGTTATTTAAGTTGTTATTACCGTGGAGTCACTCTGAAGTGAGACTTGGTTGTTTGGCTGTCTTCACACTGCGGTTCCCAATTCTTGGTAGCAGTGCAGCTGTTTCTGCACTCCTAGCCCTGAAGCAGTAACGACGGCAGCTTTCCAGCCTGCCCTGGAGGTGACATCACAGGGCTGCATGACAGCTTTGGGTCCTCTGCTGCAGTTAACAGCTGGAAAGGCTCCCAGAAGCTCTTCTGCATAGGACAGGGGACTGATAGACTGCCTGTAGTCCTGAGAGCAGCTAGCTGATAGGGCGCATCACTCTTGTTTGCTGGAGTAGTGAGTGCAGAACCAGATTAAACAGAGTATTTAGGCTGCTTACTTTCCAGTGAAGTCTGTAGGAGTTAGGACTAAATACTTTTACTGAACCCAGCCTTCAAGGCCTACTAAAGCCAAGCGCTTGATGCATGTATTTAGCAGAAGTCCATCCCTCTTAGGCACATCATGAAGTCAGCACATTTAAACACATGCCTAAAGTTAAATCCATTTACTGCTGTGGTAACAAGCATGCATGCTACCCACCTCCCTCTCCCTATAAATCAACAGTGCATTAATTCGTCAGCCACAGTACATGAGTGCATTTATTAGATGCACCTAGTACTTCATTCATCACTCCTGAACATCAGTAGTCAAAGCTTTTGAGTCAAAGCGCTTTGGGGTTGTTATTCCAGGTTACCTTTCTGGAATGGCTAATGTATGCTGCAAATGCCAGTGCAGTAAAGTGAGAAACTAGGAAATAAAATCTTAAACAAAACTAAGAAGATTGGGGGAAAAAAAACCCCAAACCAAAACCTAACACAACAAAAAATGACCATCTGGTGCATAGTAGCATTTTTTGCAAAACCCTCAGAAGTAAGCCATAGTTCCATTGAAATGCCAGTGAACTGATTTGTGTGTGTTTATGAACTGATTTATGTTTGTTTCTGTGTTAGAAGCATCGAGGATGTCTCAGATGAAATAGGGGGCTTAAAATCACAGATTCTTTCTTAGCTGTGTGTCTGTGCACGATTGCATACATGCTTCCTGGGGCAAAATTTTAGGAGCTTGGTCTTAGGCAGCAATCTCAGTAGGCAATAGCAAAAGAACTCTGGAGAATGAGGCATTTCCTCTGTGGCATGACCATCACTGGAGTGGTCATCCCTGTTCCCTGACTGTTAAAGGAATGCGCGTGCACCTGGTTTATACTAACCTTTTTGTTAGACAGGATCTTCCCGGGGATTGTGTGCATGCCTTAAAGGAGTGTGTTCCTTTCTAGGGCAGCACATATCTGAATGTTTGTTGGTAGATTTAAGGAAATGGCCCATACCATTTGCTGGATCAGACTTTGCCATCCCTCCCCTCTTCTCTTTAGGAGTACCTACAGTCCAAGAGGTGGGCCAGGTTTCTGTCTTGTGACAAAAGGATTCCCCCAGTCATAGTCTGGCTTCTCACAGCCCGTAACAGTTCCACAATAACTGCTGAGGGAAAGCATATATATA